AAAATATCGTTTTTTTTATTTTTATTATTTATTTTCCGAAATTTGCTAGGGTTTTGCTATTTAAACCATTGTAAGCCCTTCGAGGCAGGCATTATTGAATTGAATAAAAACTTTCGTGAGTTTATCTCATATTTGTGAGGTTTTTCATTTTTCCTATAATCTTCCGCTACGTCAATAAGGCAATCAAAATGTATCACAAATCTTCATCACTGCTACGCAATAATGATACCCCTCAGCTTTCTCTCCCTCTTGATACTTCATGGTATAAGATCGACGTTAGTTTTGTTACCTTCGATAACCTCCTTGCAAACGTGCTTGTATAGTTGAGCTGCCAGGTGCGATCTTGCCATTTTTTCATTGAATGTCTCTGCCATCTGGTTGATTTTCTGGTTAATAATTTATTCAACAAACTGCATCACATATAAACCATGATTGTGCCTGAAAAATGAAAGTCCCAAAAAAAAATAATAATAATAAATAAATAAATTGGATAGTTTGAGATGAACTAGAATTTGAAATTGTAAATGTGACATCCAATTCTAATGAACTCACCCGTAACCATCTAGTGGTATACCATCCAATTCATATGATAAAAGGAAAAGGGTCTCATCTATATGATTTTCATGATGAACTGTAAATTTTTTTCATGGCTATTAGAGATTTCATAATCGCATAGGAGTTAGGTAAATGTGAATGTGAAATTGCGGCATTGAAATTAATTTATATAAACACAGTGAAATATAATCTAGATTTGTGATGTGAAGAACAGTTTGAATGAGATTGAATGGGGGAAATACCTCAAATCGGATGAAATAAAATCAAGTAAGAGCGCGATTTTTTTTTTTTGAGAAAGTTAACCAGTGATAGTTGGGGCGTGTTTGGCAGATTGAATAAAGCCATGTAGATTCAAAAATTTATTTCTTAACCAGGAAAGTTGAGATGTGTTTGGAGGAGTAATTACATCAATGGAATCATTTAATGGATGATATAAGCAATTTTGTGTTTTTTTTTTTAAATATTTACGACATAAAATGTAGTAATTTTGGTTTTAAAAAATATTTGGTAGTAAAATTTGAATAAATATTAAAAATTAGATTAACTTTAAAAAAATATATGAGCAAAAAATTATGGAAAAAACAAAATTTAACATGAGAAATATATGTAATTTACATCTTTCCATTTGAGCAGAATTTGGATTTAGATCCATCAAGATGTAAATGGGAATGTTCATGGTTTTGAAGATGTCGATTTACCCCAATTTCACACAATCATTGGAGATGTTCTTAGAAATTCAATGAGAAGACAAATGATAAAGTTAATGATAAATAACATTATTCCCTTTTAAGGAACATCTAAAGCATTACAAATTCAATGAGAAAAAAGAAAATTTGCTCATTCCTAGCCCTTATTTAGGACAAATAAACGTAGTTATGAAATACTAAAAACCCACTTGAGAAAAGGTTGTACTTTTATTCAAGTTCAATATAACATTATTAGAATAATCTATGTAAATAATATCAACTGTAAAATAAAATTAGTCTTGACCATCTATTTAAAGGTGTGGAGCTATAGGAAAAGCTACTGAAAATAAAAGGCTTAGAGAGATTCTTTAATTATTTTCTATAGTGCCATCAAGTGCACAAACTAGTGCCAACAGTTGAAGGATACAAGCTAGCCCTCGACAAGTAGTTGAGTCTTATTACTCTCATCAGAAAGTTCAAATTTCAAAAAATCTTCAGTAGTTATTTTGGCATTGGAAAGTAGAGTAGACTTGTCCTTCTGGAGGGGTCTTTTAGCTTGTTGAGTGAAGCTTATGAATTGTTGTGGTGAAGTGTGTGCAGAGTATATGCCAAGACATTTTCAATTCGGTTAGCACTTTTTTCCCATTCTTTAGTCAACAAAGAATTACTTGATGGGAGTTTACCATTTATACAAGGGAATCGCTCGCACAAGGATTTTACGGGTGCTGAGATGGTATTATCTGATTGGTTGTTTTAACTGTATTTTTTTGTTCAAAATCTAATTAAATGTTGTCACGTGACATTTTATAAAAATCCCCAAACTTTCTCTGCACGTGTAGCTTTGTTCTACTTGATGAGATGTTGGGTAACGTACACCAACACTAGACTTTACTCAATAGTATTAGGGGAAATTTTTTTGAATCTCATCAATTAGATCCTCGTCCTATCTAGTATTGCATATCATGCATGCTTGGAATAAATTTTCGCCTCTACTTGATGAGAATCAAAATGAGATTTTTAGTAAATATTGATAAAAGCTAATGAAATATGTAATTGAAAAGTTGTGATTCCGACATCTGGGCAATGTATGGTGAGATTTTATGCCTTCGCAGCATAAAAGCACATCTATCAGAAAGCATAGGAAAGACAAATATGATTTTGGTCAGCAGTGCAATTCATGAATTCTAGAAATGTAAACTTGTGTTGTTATTTTGCAATAGTCTGAATTTCCACAATGTCCAAGATCTCAATCTAGAAAATCAGTTTGGGGAAAATAACAAATAACTAGAGTAACTAGATCATAAGGAAAAAAAAGTTTTCACAAAATTTACACACCCAAGACAACAATGAGAACCAATATTATCTTGCTGTCCAAAGCTTTAGAAGGCAAAAAAAAAAAAAAAAAAGCTACAAAAGAAGATTTTACACACTTTCACATCCCCAACCTCATTTACAATCAGTTTCATGTACATTTCGACAGTTATCTTAGATATGCTTCCACTGAATTCTACAAAACAATGCTCATTGCTCATAAATTGGGCATATAAATAAACCAGACCTAAAATCATGTCTGGTTTTATTACAATGCAATAATAACTCAATAAATATAGAGACGAAAGACTATGTCATGCGCATCAACTTCCTTAACTTCTCTTTTCCACTGCAATGAATACACAAGTTAATAGAATCAGATATATGCATGTACTTAAAAGGTGAAAGCAAGCAATCAAAGATTGCTAAACTAGTCAGAAAACGTTAAGAACACATTTGGTATGGTATAAGGCTAGACAATACAGTAAATAACATTCTAACTTCCTTTTGTTTTCAATACTATCCAATACTTTCGGCTGTTTAGCCACTTTATCAGACAAGCTCCAAGTCTCTAACAGCTAGAGCTCTTTGCTCATGTAAGACATGTGACATAAAAACTTATTTGGTATTCATCTTCTTCTATCAAATCAGATCTTCATTTCTTTTTCTACGGTACAGGTAACGGTTTGACATCATGTTTCCTTAACAATTTCTTCTTCAAGCATTACCAAACTATGAGCAGTTCACTGCTGTTTGGGAATTGAATATATTACAATAGTAAAGCCTAAGCTGTAGTCCACAATCAGTAACTTCAAAGACAAACATACTGTAAACACTGGCAAATCTATTGAAGCGTCCTATGCCACTATTGACGTCCTATCTTTTCGGTTCATACTTCATACTATCAAGTGATTTAAGTATACATGATAGATAACACTCTTTTGAAGGAGAGATTAAAAATTCAGCCGATCATGATGGCAGCGACCAGCCTATATGGTGCGAGAGATCTACCAACGTAGGCTTTTCAAGTACAAAAGGAAAATTGCATAAACAACATATATCTGGAATTGCAAAATAACTTTTAAGCATCAAATTTAACCATAGTCCACAACGCAAAACCTTGAAGAACA